AATATGAGAAGGTTTGGCAAAAGGGAAAGTTAAAACGGTACCCTAGGATTTTTTACAACAGTTGGAACTAATGTTGTTACCATGTGTCTCGTTGATGAGTTTCCTGATGATGGGGTTATTGACCTCCTGAGTGCCCCACCTCACCTCATGTACCAGTGGACTCTCCTGGATACCCGAGGTCACACCCTCTGGGAGAAAGAAATATCAGTCTTGACTCTTGAACAGATGGAACCCTAACTTAGGGTTACGCTAACCCTAGTATGGAGGCTTGTGTATTTGCAGAAAATATTTCCGAATTGCAGACCAAAATTTGGACTCTTATGCAATATTGCAGAGCACTGAAAATTTATACCACTGCCTATGGTCAGGGGTGCCGGAGTATACAGTGCATTTTTACGGAATACAGTGCAATTTTACTTGTGTACAGTGCAATATTACAGAATACAGTACAATATATTGTACATGTATTAGTATACAGTGCAATTTTACGTAATACAGTGCAATTGTATAAGTATACTAATACGACTGCATTGTATTGTACTAGAATACTAGTAAAGTTGCACTGTATACTAAAACGGACTGCACTGTATTGTACTAGTACACTAGTAAAATTGCACTGTAGACTAATACGATTGTCTTCGTCTTCGTCTTGGTTACCCCCAGATAACCCCGTGAGGGGTGTCGTTAGGGGGGGGAGGAGGTCAAGGCTAAGGCGGGCAGGCCGCCAGCCCGGCCCGGAACGACTCAACATTGGGAGCCATAACTACCGGGCCGGGCAAGGAGTTCCACTGTGGAATGGTACGGGGGAAAAAAAAGAATCTGTATGTGTCAGTGCGTGCGTTAATGGGCCGATATTTAAGAGAATGGCTCCCCCGGGTACGCCCCTGTGTGGGCTGCAAAAAACTGCCAATTTGGGTTCTAACTGCCACGATGTTGTGAACTATTTTAAAAAAATGTTGTGAGGCGGGCGCTCCTCCTCCTTTCGGAGAGAAGAGGCCATTGCAGGTCATTGAGCATTTGTGTCACACTGCTAGTTCGCCTGTAGTCATTGAGGGTCACCCGGGCGGCCCTGCGCTGGACAGCCTCCACCGCCTGTATCCCTTTGATGGCATGCCAAATATGTTTCACCACTCAGGTGTCAGATCAAGGAGCTAGAAAAGGTCAAAAATCACCTCGAAAATTTGTCCCTTGCAGGTATCCACAAAAAAAAGGGTTAGGTTTGGCAGTTTTTTCTAGGGTCGGTCGGGAAAAAGGAAATATTTTGTACAACATTTTTTTTCCTAGGCCCAAGCTGTCAAGGAAGCTGTCAAGGTGTTTGTATAGAGTTATAACCAGTGGTCGAAATACTTTTTTTCAGTACTCTGCAATATTGCAGAAGAGTCAAAATTTTGTTCTGCAATTAGGAAATACTTTCTGCAAATACATTTAGTACACAAGCCTCCATATTACAACCTTTCTGCAAATACACAAGCCTCAATACTACAACCTTCTCAAACCAATAATTCCTTTTTTACATCATATATAGCTTTGTAAATCTGTACAGTAGCATTACTGGACTGCAGGAGAATTTCAGGTTTATAAGCATGAACTATGGATAGATATGCAAATTAGTGAAGACAATTTTTTGGAAGTCCAAAAGGAAACAAAAGTTAGAGTCTTAGACAAGTCAAGACAAGGTTGATGCAAATTAGTGAAGAAGCTCCTGTTGTTTCAGAACAGTCTGTCCCTGGGGCCTGGAAGTTTTAGTTTGCTAAATTGAAAACTAATGAATCTGGAGCCTATTCTTCCTTCTGCAAAATTGCAGATTGTATAATTTTTTCTTCTGCAATCTTGAAAATCTATCTGCAGATTGCAGACTGCAGGCAGGTATTTCGAACACTGATATAATTTTCTTTCTGTTAGTACGGTAAAATTCATATTTTGGGCAAGTGAAATGTTGGTTCGGGCAAGTGGAATTTTGAAAACTTGTCCAACCCTGCTGAGAATCATTAACAAAATGTATTAGTTTTGTATCAAATCCTTACCTTCATACAGTCAAACAATGTGGCCTCAGTGGTAGTTGAAGCCATCGTCTTCCTTTTCCGGAGAGTTTCTGAGGTGGTGCTCTTGTCTGCCTCTCTCTTGGTGGGCGTGCAGGGTGCTGATGTTCCTGTCTTCCGATCTACGAACTAATGAAAAAAAATAGCATGACGTATATAATTAGTGTAAAATTCATCCAGTAACTTTAGTGATACTTTTGTTCGCGCAATTTCCGTAATGACCCCACCCCATGAATTTTTTTTACTTTAAAACACGAAATTCAGACACAAAGAAAGAAAGTAACTGCAAAATTTTCTGCACTTACTGTACTTTTTTCGAGTCAGCCCCCCCCCCAATAGTTCAAGTAAGTCTTCATGTAGCCGTGGACGACTCTAGTATCCATTTTGCATGATAATGCAGGATCCTGCATTAT